TAGATCTGTTTCTTCATCTGTAAATGGGCATAAAGACCCACCACATAGGACTGTAAAGATTAAACCTGATATGGATGGATGCATAGACAGTCAATAGTTATATCTGGGGAACTGGGAATGGTGTGGCAGGGAGAGAGCCATTACTTCAGGGGAAGAGGACTTGCATTTATACTTTATACCATCGAGAACCATTTGAAAGTCTCCCCTCGTAAGTATATGCTACATATAATAAAAACTAGGTTATGCAAAACTTAAAAGTGTTATGGTCTGCAAAGCCAACAGTCTTGGCACCTGGCACCTAGTAGAGGGTTAATAAATGGATCTGCTGTATTTATTATTATTGTACTTGATTAGCAACTATATTCAGCCCAGAATGGGAAGGTGGCCAGTCAGTGGCAGCTGTTGGTTTAGCACTAATTGTGTTAGGACCTAAAACCATCCACTGAACTTCCCACTATGAGAGGGACCAATTACACTGGGGCCCAAGTGGCAACTTCCCCAATCCTGATATCCTGATACCACCCTGCAGGCAGAGCCACTAAGCTGTGGCTTCTTCACAGACAAGGGCTGAAATGGGGCCCTACCTATCCCTAGGGCAGGGCTCCTCACCTGGACAGGCTCTCCATCTCTCCACACCAGGCCTTCTCCATCACTTTCCCAGCGAAGGTGAACTTCCTGACCCACCCATGCCTCCGGAATGGTCAGCTCCACCCGAAACCAACAGGTCCACCATCTGCAAGACAGCCATTGAGATGGGCCTAGGGGGTCGAAGCCCTGTCCTTTTGCCACACTTCCTCGGTTAAGGGTCAGCAGGGACTGGAGACTGTCTCCAAGCATCTGCAGCGTCACAAGGTAGTCAGCTTTGATCCACAAGAAAGGAGCAACAAGGTGTGCAGCAAGGTGAGGGGAAAAGGCAGAGAAGTCAGGGGTCTGTAATCCGTGCTAGAGTTCCTTTCCTAACGGGTAGGCTCTAGGTACTGGGAGGAGGGAGGGGCGGGGGATGAAAACTCTCCCATGGAAACTGAGAGACCAGGGAGCTGTTTCCAGCAGAGGGCGCCGCTCCTCCCCAAGCGGCTGTCTAGGACCTAGGGCCGCAATGGAGGTGTGGCCCTTAGAGGGGGTGAGCGAGAGGGGAGGGGCGCTGCCCGCTGGCCCCACCCTGCCCCCGGGCGTTACCCACGTGGGTCCAAAGCTGTCGCCGATCTGCGCGGGGCGGAACTCCTGCCGGACCGCCTCCTGGTACGGTAGCCTCTCGGGCGTCTGGAAGCTGGAGAGCGCGGCCACCGGGCAGCTGTCCCCGAAGAGCCTGGGCGGGAGGGACGGGTGGGCGCGGGCTCGAGGCCGCCCCTTGCCGCCCGTGGGCCAGTCGGCGGATGGGGACGCGCGTTCCCTTGACCCGTCGCCGAGAAGGCTGCCCCACAGCACAGCGTCTCCCGACCCCTCCTCCCGGGCCCTTGCCCAGTCGGCGGCGGGCACTTCATCCCTCGGCCCCGGTGGCCGCAGCTTGAGTTTCCCCCCGGAAGGGAAGGCTGAGGCGCGCGGCCGCGGCCGGCCGGCGCCCTGGGCGGGAGGAACCCCACCTGCCGTGGAGGTTACAGTCGGTAAAGTAGAGCGGCGACACGAATTTCTCCACCCGCTCCAGCGTAGTGCGCCAGTGCTTCAGGGCCGGCGCCGCCATCGTCGCGCGCCCACTCCTCTCCCCGGAAGGCCCCTGTCGTTGCCGGCGCGGCCCACGGTCGGGAACCAAAGGTTCCGGGGCCGAAGGGCGCCTTCCAGCCCCGGGCAGCTTTTCTTGGAACACTGGCGGCTCTCGGAAGTCCCGCTACACTGAATCTTGAACGTGCAGCTGAAAGCCAAGAAGCGGCTTCCGAGGCTATCTCGTCTGAACTGGCAGGCCACTGGGCAAATCCCTCAATAAAACGGCAAGTTTGACGCCGCTTAGATTCTCCGAAAGAACCGAGACAGAGACCGGGGATTTTAGGCACGACGGGTGGGAGCCTCGGCTGTTGCAGACGCAGGTCACCAGGGCTTAGAAGCAGCGAGTGGGAATTGGCTAGTTCTCCACGCCTAGCCCGACTTCTGGCTCTGTCTTCGAAAACCTGTTGTCTGCTTAACGTGTGAAGAGCCAGGAGCCAGGGCTGGTGCTTTGACGCTAATTGGCAGACATCTGTTTAAATAGGGAGGGCTTTGCACCCCCAGTAACCTGAGCTTCCTCTCCTACATGTTTTGTGTATATAGCTGTCAGTTATCACCAGAAACCCTGGGAGTATTTTGATGGGAGATGGCAGATCAGTCATAGCATTCAAAATCCAATTGAATAACGTATTTCACCACACAGGACTGGAGAATTCAGAAAAGCCTGATCCAAGAAACACCTCCAATTTCATCCTTACCTTAGTAGCCCACTGGTATTTTTTTTTCCTTCTAGAATTGCCAGGCAGTGCTTGTCTATAAAATCATTACTAAGAAAAATTACATACACACTAGCCCTGATATTTTTTAATGGAGATACTGACCAAGTTCACATTTCAAGTGTAGGTCACAGGGAAAAGTGACTAAGTGCAGAGTACCAAACGTGATTTAAAATAAAGACAACTGACTGCTACAATACAGGCTGGGTTTAGAGCTTGGAGCTCAATTTTCAGAAGGCAGGAGGGATAAAGATGGGGCTTGTGAAAACCCTGGGTGTAGGTGAGGCTCCCTCCTTTTTTGGTTGCACTGGTGGGTTGGGTTTTCTCCTGAACTGACCCTGAAACCCTATCCTGACCTGTAAGCAGTGCAGGGACAGCAACAGCTGGGGCTACCCCTGGTCAGACCCCATCAATTTCCTCCACAATTCCAGGTTAACACAATCTTTCTTGAGTGAGCAGAGGGTGACAGGTGAGCTATTGCTGGAAAAAGCTGGAAGAGCCTTCCCCTCAGTATGTGCCTGTATGTGCCTCCAGGTTTGGCACTGGCTCAGCTTCATCCTAGAATCTGCTGCCACAGGGCTCTTTGACCACCCCCTACACTTCCGGGTTCAGAGTCTCCTGTTACCTCTGCAACAAAAAAGTCTAAAAGCAGAGAAATCTATACCATGTGTTTTTAAAGTTCAGAAGCCAAAAAATTTGTAGTTTGTGGTGGTGGTGGTTTTAATTAAGCAAACAAGTCCACACAAAACATGTTGGTTACTTTATAACTAAGACTAGGGTGATGGTTGATGGAGAAAAATCTACCATACTGGGAGGGGTTCAGTATGTCTTTGTTCATAAACTCCAGGCTGAAGACAGAAAAATCCTAATCAGTTTATCTGGTTTGCTAGTCTAAATTTATGCAATTATATATATATATAATATATAAAAGTCCATTTGCAGTTGCTAATAATGTAGCAAATTTTTTCTCTCCCAACCCTATTTAGGCCATACACCTTGTACATATTTCTTTTAAATACTGGTTTTGTGTTTAAGTTGTTCACCCCCATTTCCAATTAAGGAATATATATATATATATATATA